ATAATGTACAACAACTGATTATTAAATGAATATTATTTATTTAAACCCTTGAACGTTTAATTCTCAGGCATTTTATTTTTTTCAACTCAAATTAAAGATAAAAATGTTGCCTTGAAAGTGAATAAGTAATTAATAAATAAAACAGGTAATGGCAGTTGCAGAAAACCGTAGCGTCCAAAATACATTGTATTGTCCAAAATACGTCAGAAACTCACCCAAATGATCAAATTCTGTGAGATTCCACATTTTATACTGGATTCCATTTTGTGTTGTTTCCGTGTTTCAGTCTGCAATTTTCTCATTGCAGAAATCATAGGGTCCTACAAATCTCAGTCCTATTTTTATTWATTTTTTTCCAGGTGACCGATGAGCAGATGGAAAAGGCTCGTAAACTCTTCCCCCACAACCCCCCCACCACCAAAGAGGCGTACCACTTCAGAGAGCAGTTTGAGGAGAATTTCCCGGGCCGGGCCCAGTGGCTGTCCCACTACTGGATGCCTAACTGGGTCAGCACCACCGACCCGTCAGCACGAACCCTGTCCATCTACGAAGCCAAGCAGTGAGMGGGTGGTGGTCCCAGAGGGACCGGATCAGAGCTTTAATGAGAGAAGCTGTTTCAGGATGGACCTCAGCTGTTCAGACAAACTATGAATTTATTTTTGTGTAACTTTAGACCCATCTGAACCTTTAAACGGTTTGAAAGCAGCAGATATTTACCTAAAGATGTCAGCACTGGAGTTTCTTTTTCTACTTTAGAAAACCTCCAGGAAAGGTTCTGATGTAAACCAAACTGAAAATCAAGTCTTGAACTACTGTATAAGAAAACAATAAACAGTTTGTTTGCCTCCCAGCAGATTAAATCCTGTTTGCTTCTGACGAGTTAATAATAAACTGATTTAAAAGCAGAATGTTCTTTATTTGTTTTCTTACAGCAGGAAATTAAAATGTGCAACAAGGWGAAAGGAAGTTTCAGTTCAGATCACAGATGAATTTCAGGTTAAAGTCTGGTTTTTTAGTCTTCTACCTTCATAAAACACTAGGGGTGGGAATCTTTTACTAGCATTCGATTCAACTCTGATTTTTAGAGCCATGATTCGATTCAAAGTCAATTTTTCATTCAAAACTGATAATGTTAGGGGTTAATGAACACAGGGCCAGTTGTGTCTCTCTTTCCTCCAGTTTTGTAGTTTCCTCGTTATTTTGGTGCTTTCTGTGCGTACATTCAACATGGAGGCTGACAGCCATTGAATTTGCTTTGTTTTTATTATTTTTTTAATCAATTTTGGGACATTTTAAATCGAGTGGAATCGAAAAAAATAATGCAATCCATTTATTTTCATTTTTCAAGGTTTTGTTAAACAATATTCAGATAATATTGTGTTGAAAATGAGGAATAATCGATAGATAGTTTAGATGAAAATTTTTTGCTTCATAAATTTACCGGACCAGGCTCCGACTGCATTAAAACGGACTCTTATTTTGAAATACCGAGTTGCTAATACCAGAAGTACCCCTAACTGTTGCTGTTAGCCAGAGTTAAGTAAATAAAGAAAAGTGCTGGTGTTATGTGGACGTTGAATAAAACAGAAGTAACTCCCAGTGGACTGGTGGGCANCAACTTTTTAAAGAATCAGCCGAACTAGCAATCCTCAACAACTTTTTAATTTTTACACCAGGAGCCAAAGGACTGTTTCAGGAAATCAGATCCCCTGCAATCGGCGGTTGTAAATTGAGCTGTACAAGAGTTCACACACCACTAGTGGGCAGTATTGTACATGAATTGTAGCTAGTTAGTAGGTGTAACATTAAACTTGCACTCAAAATTTAACTTCCGATAATATTTCTATTGCAAAAGTGCTTGTGAAGTTGCGGACCAAAATATTTTCATAAGCGCTTTAGAAATTGCAGAACCAATTTTTGAATTAGTGCTGCCCACCACTGCCTGTTTCATTAATCCAGAGAATTTAGTAAAAATGCAGGGTTTTTAGTAAATCTTTTGCTCCTGGACCCCCCTCGAACTGCTTCACTCCACAGCTGCTGGTTAACATGAACAGGTGTTCCTCATGATGTCCGCAGATTTTAGTAGGTGAGAGGCAGACGTCTGGGTTTCTGTTTAGATGAATCATATTAACTCTTTTAATTGGACAACCTGGTTTCTAAAGATAAAATAATATCAGACTAAATTATTTCATTTGATGTGAATGTTATAAAACTGCACAGGGGGGCGTGGCCTGAAATGCTGACAAGGACGACAAACTGGCTAGAGCCAGCCCTGCCCACAAAGTACTGAAGTACTTAAGAAGTATTGGGAGGCAGCAGGTTTTTGGGATGACATTGATAAAATTACACTCAGGTATTTCACTGAGCCGAGAAGCTGAATGAGACTTTGTTAATATGATTTCTAAAACCATGAGTTTAGTATGAAAGCTGAGGGCCCAGGGGCCTCAGCTTTCATACTAAAAGTTAACGTACGACCAAAAGGCAAAAATGGCAAATGGCTTATAAATGTCTTTTTTATTTGAAAGGTCCTTGTGGCTCAGCAGCAGAAGCATAAATAATAAGAAAGCTGATGATAAAGTTGATCTAAACGTCTGATTATGAAGTGAAATTAATTATCTGAGTGATCTTGATGCAGTGTGGCTATAATTCTTCACTTCACCATCTGTGTCGCAGCTTTCCGTCTCCAAAATGAGCGTACGCATGGGTCAGAGCTGGCTGAGGGACCGCGCATTTTCACATCAAGTTTGAATTTTATAAATCACAACCTTTGTGTGAAAAGTGGCGTACGCAAGTTTCTGGCCTTGTTTTGTGCGTACGCAAGCTTTATAAATCTGTCCCCAGGTCTTAGTCTAGTCCTGAGGTCTAGCTGTTTCTTCACATCAGACCAGCTTTTTATNACTTTTACTCAAGTAGAATTCCTAAAGGAGACTTTAACTTTTACCAAAGTCATTTTTTTGGTAAGATACTTGTACTTTCACTCAAGTATCACTTTGTGGTACTTTATACAACTCTGACAACATCTAAGTTCCCTCTGGGATCATTAAAATAGTTTTGAATTGAATCTGGAGCTGCAGCTCTGATGACCACCAGAGGGCGCTCTGTCTCTCTGCAGCTCCAGCAGGGCAAAGAACTCACAGCTGAGCTTTATCCAGTCATGAAAATCAGTTTAATAAATATGAAATGATCCACTCTTTGTGTTCAGGTGGAAAAAATGACAACCCCCACCCCAGGATTGTGTGTCTGAGTCACGACGCAGACTCTGGCAGTACAGTTTCACACTCGGGGGGCTATCCCCCCTGATTTTTTTTGGCCCATTACAACTTTAGTATTTGAGACATGGCAGATGGTGGAAAACTCTCACAGAGACCACTTATAATGTCAGTAATGACAGTTTGAAACCCCCCACCCCCCACAC